GTATCAAACCGATCAGAACAATACTAAACACACCACTCCTATCTGGTGGCACATTAGCTTGACCGCGCAGTGCCCCAAATTTGAATTAAGAGGACCGACCAAGCCTCTTCTTCCATCTCCCTGTTACAGAAATCACTGCTATATCCATACAAATTGTACAGAATGTCCAGGATAGTTTTCCATGGACAAATGTTGTCGCCTGTTGAACGAGGTGACCTTGCTCGGGTCCCAGGTGTACGGTTCCTAAAATGGTTGCCATATACACGTCCACTGATAGGAGACGCGGAAGGTATTAAACTGATCAGAACAATACTAAACACACCACAAATAAAGTTTCTCTCCTGTATGGCTCCTCAAATGATGCTTAAGATTAGAAGCGGCTGAAAAGCATTTCTCACACTCCGAACAAAAATATATATTTTTAACATTCTCTCCACTTTGAACGAAATGACGTTTGGGAAGAGATTAACATAATTAAACACAGGCAGTAAAAATACAGTTTTTAGCCATACCTTGTAACTTTAAAACTACACATCCCATCTTCATAATTACATATTTGGAATCAGCACACTTAAAAACATAAACATAACCAAAAATCAGCCAAATCCATCCAGGGTTAAAAGTTAGCTGGAGGTCCCTTTATGACCGCATCAAAAAGCACATTTTCTCCTGCCCAAAACAGTTCCATAGATCTGGCTGTGATGGTCGGGTCTATTTCAGGTTGAAAGACTAAGTCCCATCGCCATCAACTTCTAGTCTCTGCAGCTGAAATAAGGCTGAAAAAAACGGCTGAAAAAAAGACTAAGTCCCATCATGGGACTTAGTCTCTGCAGCTGAAATAATTTCCCATTTACTGAACCAAGTGGGAAATAGCAAGGCAGGCACAAAGGGTTTGCACCAGGTCTGGGGACACAGGGGACACCGTCTTAAAGGGGCCGTGTCCCCAACAAGTCTGGGGACACGGCCTTAAAGGGGCAGTGTCCCAATCTTCCTGATGTCCCAAAAAGGTGTTTAAAGGGCCAGCACCAGTCACATAAAGAGTCCATAAGCCCCAATATGCCCACCGACAGTCTTAAAGGGCCATAAACACCAAATAAAAGTGCATACATTTTCACAATCTCCCAGGGGCCATAGTCATGCGGGAGGAGGCTGGCAAATAGGCTTCTCCACAACCCAGGGAAGCAGGGCAATTTGCCATTTAAAGGGCCCGTTACAAATAGCAGTTTGTAACAAGGTGTCAATCCATATCTGCCAAGTGACCCGATGTAGGGGGACCAGTCCCTATTCTGCTCTGTGTCAGTGTGTACCAGGGAACCTTAGGACAGGTGTCAATCCATATCTGCCAAGTGACCCGATGTAGGGGGAACAGTCCCTATTCTGCTCTGTGTCAGTGTGTATCAGGGATCCTTAGGACAGGTGTCAATCCATATCTGCCAAGTGACCCTATGTAGGGGACCAGTCTCTATTCTGCTCTGTGTCCGTGTGCATCAGGGGCTCTGAGGACAGGTGTCAATCCATATGTCAAGGTGTCAATATGTCATATGTCAGGTGTCAATCCATATTGATTGTGATTTAGGAATGTTAGGTGATTTCTGCCCTTTATGGATTAAAACCAGACTCTGTATCAACTGTGTAATTTTCCATGGGAGTTTTGCCATTGATCCCCCTCCGGCATGCCACAATCCAGGTGTTAGTCCCCTTGAAACAACTTTTCCATCCCTATTGTGGCCAGAAAGAGTCCCTGTGTGTTTTAAAATTCGCCTCCCCATTGAAGTCAATGGCGTTTCGGGCGGTTCGCCGGTTCGCGGAAGTTCGCGTTCGCCAACCGAAAATTTCGGGTTCGCGACATCACTAATTTGCGTAGTTCATCTGGAGGGAACCCAGACACTTCTCATGAAGATGAACTAGACATATCGGAATCTGTAGAGGGAGAACATTCACCAGATGAAGTTTCTGATCTAGAAGATCTTCTTTTCTTGCCCCGCTGACTCATTTCTGGAATTGTAGCAGAAACTTTATCAGATTCCTTAATAGTATCCAAGGTCTGGGCCAAAGTTATCCTGAAACCAGGTTAGGAAAGATTGCATGTCTTTCTGTTTAGACTTTTCCAAGGCAACTGTAGTACACTGGTTGCATACTTTTTTCCTCGTGCCATCTGGAAGCAGAGTTGCACACTTACTGCAAACTAAATGTTTAGACTTTGACATAGCCTTTCTGGGCGTAGGAATCGGCAACTTCTTTTCCATTTCTGGATATACAGGACTAGACATATCTGTAAAAAAAAAAAAAAAAAAAATATGGCACTACTTAAAACTTGTTAATAAATTTCAATTTAATAGAGATAATTTAAAGTAAAGATTAGCTAATCTCACCTCAAAGTACATCTGAGCCCTGTTAAGGGGCTGGTGACACGGCATACCTCTTCTGGCAAGCATCCATGCAGTCAGTGGGTACCTGCACAGCTTTATACCTGAAGCTTTTCCAATTTCCTGGTATTTCCTACCTGTGCCAAGGACCGCCTCCTTGCACACGCCGGAACCCATTCTCAGCATGAGTGTTCCTGGACTTCACTAACCACAGGACTGTGGCCGCTCAGTATACCACCCGTCAGCTATTGGGCCGGATTCCCCATCTACCCTTGTGTCTCACCTCCGAAGCAGGTGCTGATCCGTCCCTAACTGGGGTAGGTTTGCCTTAGTAGCCCTTTATAGGGCAATGGGGAGGGATTTTCTCTCTTTATTATCTGTCAGGTGCTTGTCCCATGGGGAAGGGCAAACCCACAGGTACTGCTACCATATGACAGAAAATTGCATTCGTACATAGGTGTTGCATTTTTGCTTAGTGATTCTTACACTTGATAGGTGCCACTGTCATAAAATCACCCAAATTATGCTGTTACATCTTCAAAGTAAAACAATATGCCCAATGTATGCTCTAGACAACATTTTGCGAAGTTACAGTGCTATAAAAGAGACGTAACAAGTACAGGTTTTTATGTGTGAATTTTCATGGAGGGTTTTGATGCCATGTCCCACTTTGGAGCACTTTAGCAGGCTAGATAGGCCAACTTCACCATAAAGGCATCCAAGGGTATTTGAAAAGGCATATTTTGAACCTTAGCGTGGGATCAGCTTTCCGCTAGCTTGTACCAAGTGTAGTGGCAATTAGCAATTTTTTTTCTGCCTTTTTGACACTGAGTTTGCACAGTATATTTTTCAAGTCTTGTGTGCTATGGCTGTATAATATTTCATATGCTGCTCAGCTATGTCATCTGAGTACAACAATATCCCTATATGTACCTTTGCCTGGTATATGTTGAACGGGCACATGTGAGACGCAGCCAGTTTTCTTTCTTTCTAACTTTGAAATTTTACGCAGTGTCCATGTTCCATTTTTGAGCAGTTTAGCAAGTTGGTTATTCAAACTACCCCACAAACACATACTATTCATTCAAGAATAAACCCTGGGTTAATTCAAAATGCTTATTTTGAACCTTAGCTTGGGACCATTTTTTCGCTATTTTGTACCAAGTGTAGTGGTAAGCTTTTTTTACCCACACAGTGAGCTTCTACTGTACATTTTGCAAACCTTGTGTGCTATGGCAGTATAACACTTCATAGGTTGCTCAGCTAAGCCATTGGAGTATAGGAAAAACCACTTATGTACCTTTGCCAGGTAGGTGTGGATGTTGAAGGGGCACATGTGAGACGCAGCCAGTCAGTTTTTTTTCTAACTGACGTTTTATGCTGTGTCCTTGTTCCATTTTTCGAGTAGTTTAGCCGGTTTGGTATTCATACTACACCACAAATGCTTTATTTTTTTTTCCCCGAACACACCCTTGGATATTTCTAAAGGCATATTTTTAACCTTAGCGCCCAGGTCTGCTTATCTTTTGCACTGGCTTCTAAACTATTAGCAAATGTATCACACCTAGATTACTCCCGCAACTTCCTTCAACACCAGAATTTGGAATACATTGTATCCTACTATCAAATAATTATGGTCATTTACTTTTAGAGTGTTGGAAGCAATGGCTAAGAAAATGTTACTCCACATTTGGAAACACCTCACAGCCACTAACTACCCAAAATTGTTCTTTGGTTTAAAAATTAGACACATTAGCCAATAAACATTTGAAAAATGAAAAATAAATAAGTGACCCAAACCTTATAACATTCTTTCCAACACATTAAATCTTACTTAGGAATACACACACACCAGCATGACTACTAGCAGTTGTGGAACTAGGAGTACTCCTTGAAATATATAAACCTTTATATATGAAATAAGATAAGATAAGTTGATCATTGCAATGGAATGTCTGATGCATCAATTTTCTACTCTTTTTCAGGCCTCACTTCACTTAAACTCCATGAAGCTCTGCATTTTCTCACCACTTCCCACCCAGGTTCACCCTAAATATATAGCATGCTCCTCCAGCTGTTTGAAATTCTCACACAATTACCTCTCCATTCCCTTTATATTTTACCAATAGCTGCATCTCATTTAACTATTTCAGCCATGACCTCAAATCCCCACTGTAGCCTTTAGATTGTAAGCTCATAGGCTATCTTGCTAAGCACTTTGTATAAAAGAGCTCCAATGGCTAGATATCTCTCTACCTCTTGTATTGGCCTGTGAATTTTGAACAGCGCTGCAGAATCTGTTGGCGCTTTATAAATAACTAAATTAAATAGCCATTGTGTAGCCACAAGCTAGGCAATGTAGAAAAGAAGCAAAAAAAAAAAAAAATATATAAGATTTAGAAGAACAGAAGACAAATCTAGGAAAATAAAATTAAAAATATAAAATGTTATTGCTGGATTCCCCAAATTTATGAAATTTTTAATTAAGGTCTGTAAAATGGTTTAAAAAAAACAAACAAAAAAAAAAATTTGTGTAATATAAATATTTTAATAGCTGCTACATTGAAATTTTACACAGGTATTTGATAATCTGAAGATGTGAACAGTCTACAAAAGTAACCAGTATGCAATGAAAACAAAGTGGAAAATATAAAAATAGTAATATTTATTAACTGCCCTCTCAGAAGAATGCCCTTGATAAAATAAAAAAAAATAAAAACACATAGCTGAACATATATACATAAAAGGGTAGATGCAAGATAAAACCTGAAAAGTTAAATATATATATAAAAAAAAATTAAAAAAGTAGAATTTTATTAAAAAAACAAAACCAAAAATATTTCTACAAACGGCGATATTAAAAGATATGGTAAATCTAGTATTTAATTACTATTTAAAAAAGGGAATACCAAATTAAAACATGTTCATTAAACTATGACTGTTTAACCTCAAACATCTTTAAAAAGAAGATTTTAAGGTTTCTATTACAATTCTATTTTTCCCATACAAATGCCAGATGTACCAAATTATATTGTAGTACTATATACAAAAAATAAAAATAAAAAAAATAAAGGCACATGTGAACTTTAAGAATCAAATTTAGGAAAATTTTTAATAAAAGCTTATTTTTTGAAGCCATCTGAATAAAATAAAAAAAAAATAAATAAAAGCAGCACTCATGCATTCACTAGACAGGAAGCAACAAAACTGTAAGTGTATCAATGGTATAAATTCCTACACTGAAATTTCAAATGTACCGATAAAGATTACATAATGCTACTATTTGATGGGGGAGGGGGGGGGAGTAAATAATAAAAAAAAAAAAATTCTGCAGTGAGAGCCTCAAAATGGATCAGTATTTGCCAACAGTAAATACTTTGTAACCTCTAAAGCAGGGGTAGGCAACCTTCAGCACTCGAGATGTTGTAGACTACATCCCCCACAATGCTGGCAAAGCATCCTGGAAGTGTAGTCCAAAACATCTGGAGTGCTGAATGTTGCCTATGCCAGCTCTTAAGTATGTGGAATTTTTAAAAAGTTTTGTAAAGTAAAAAAAAAAAAAAAAAAAAAAAAATTTAAATATGAAAAACACCTGGTACCTATTCAGATGCTATACTGGCTTTTAGAAGAAGATTTGTATTTGTCAAACTAGTACCGTTACATATTGGATTGTGTACATTGCTCCTTATTTTGCCTGGATTAAAAAAATAAAAAAGTTGTAGCTGGTTATTTTGTTCCCTGAAACAAGAAAGCAAGCAGGAGCATTTTCAGAGCAACTCGTGTATACTACCAGGTATACATCATATATTGGCCTACTGCAGAATGCAAGAAAAAAAAAAAAAAAACGTTTCAGTACAGTGACCATTAAATTACACATAACCTATACGAATTAGTGTTTATGTATGGGTGGGGGCACAAAGGGTCCTTCTTAACTTAGTGTATGGAGCTTTTTTTCACAAGTACCTCTGGATAAAAACAAAAAAAACAAAACCTGGGAATGTTTGTGTTTTAAGATGTTATGACCAGCGTATGCTTTTTGATATTTAGTCAAACTGTCATAAAAGATTTTGTAAAAATCACTTCGATATCAGGAACATGGATGCATTTGTAATAAGACAAGAATCTCAGCTTTCAAATGCTTTTATCAGTCTCATCAGAATGAGGGTTGTTTATGCCTCAATTGTTGGAGCCTTCTTGTAGATTGGTTTCTTGACAGAATCGCAGCCATTTACATCTTTCTTTTGCAGACGCATAACCAAGACAACGATTATCAACACTGCAAATACTAGGCCAACAAGTGTACCTGCGACAAGAGCTGGAGACAAAAAGTAAACAGTGTCAGTATAAACAAATAAACACACATGCAACAGACTAAACACAAGGTGTAGCAATAGAAGCAGTGTGGTAACATCTTGTAATGCAATTGTTAGGAACAAGGATAGGTGTCCTCTTGCTTCAGACTACATAGTTTTTATATGTTAATGAGCTAGACTGCTATACCTGCAAACTTTACGCTTTGTTTATAATAGAGTCTTTGTGTGCTTATTTGTAAATGGGGTGTTATTGTGTTGTGCTTCATTGTAGGTAGTGTGTTACCCATTTACATATGCTGCAGAGTATTAGTCTAATTATTTGTTAAATTAGATGGACCAGAGTGATATTAAAATGGTATTTTAATACCACAAGCAGCTGTAAAATTCATAATGAAAATGCATGATAACCTCAGTTTTAAAAAAGCACAGTAGAATGAAGCCAAGTTCTTGAAACTAAGGCATTCAGATTTGCACAGGAAATAAGGAACCAAACATCTTAGACAAAACTAAACAAACACTTTGTTAGTAGACTCTTGAACATATTTATTATTAATAGATTGATACCATTGAGGCCAGGACAAAACAAAAAAAAATATAAAATACATTTACAAAAATTACTTCTTACCAACCACAACTTCTTTTCTGTTGAAGAAACCTCCGTTACCAGTGCTTGCCATTGAGATTTCATTTGATGGTTCAAGATTCCCCTGATCACTTGTTTTCCTTGGAATAATTATATCATTGGTGTCGCTCACATCATAGTCATTTTTATCCTTTGGCATTATGTCATCTTCAGGAATTCTGTTATCCAAAGTAGTCTACAAATCACAAAATACAAAGATGTTAAAGACCGAGAAGGAGGTCAGATCAAACCCTTCTAGATACCTAAAGGAAATGGAAAGGTAGCCACAAACACAACCAGGTATGCAAATCGCAAAGCGAATGCTATGAGCCTACTTCAACACTACCATCCACTTTTTTTAAATAAAAAAGGTAAAAGATTACACTTAAGAAAAATGTACTTACAGTTATGTCCACAGTGGATTCCTCTTCATCTACAAGAAAAATAAATAAAAAAAGGGAAGAGAGGGGGAAAACAATATATGAAAAATTTTATAATAAAAATAATTCTTGCTTAGATTCCATTTTATTTATTTTTTTTAAATCATTTTCCTGACTGGTTATTGCCAATATTTAAGTAAGGTTTCCTACATGCTATGTGCAAGAGGATAAAAAAAAAAATTAAAAAAATCAGTTCTTGAACAGGATCCTGAATTTACTGTGGAATTTTTACATGGGGCTGCAACCAGAATCATAGAGATGCATTTGTTATATTAATATGTGGACTGGCCTGATGAGGATGACAGACAAATATATCTAACAGAAGGGGCAGTTCCACTTTATTAGTACATTCGATAGCTTCTGAACACTGTAGCCATTTTAACACACTACAGAATGGGACAGTGTTGTGTCATGGTGGGTTAAGGATGCCTCGTTTTGATATAGCTCCATAAAGTTCTGTTGTCACATCTGAACACAAAGGTCAGAATCACACCGTACACATTCTTAAACTATTGCACCAATTACATAAATTGCATTACTAAATTGACCAACACACTTTCTAAAATGTTGACAGTGTTATACAACAGAAGACTATACATCTAAGCAATTTCCGGTTTCATTTAAAAAAAATAAATAAATAAAAAAGTTAAAATGCAGAAAGTTAGTTTATAATAAAGGCAGTCCGAGGCTATGCATATTAGGAACCCAAGAGAAAACATGTTTATTTTAGATACAGCTTTTCCCTACAATAAAATCTTGTTTTTCAAGGCCTCCCTTTGCCACACCTTGTGTAATTTTGCAGTGCATTTATAAAGCAAATCTGCTTCAATGTGTATTGCAGCAATTTAAATGGAGCATTCTGCGTGGGAATCAAACCACTCTGAAATTTTAGAGATTACACTAAAAATACACAAATTTGAAGGACTCCCTCACATAATGCTCATTTGTAATGAAAAGGTAAAACCAGGATTAGATTCTCAGTTGATTTGAGAAATCGAAAAGAATGCTGCTGTGCTCCAGCCAGGGGTATGAGTGGAGCAGCTTATAGAACAAATCAAATGCAAAGGCTATAACATAAACCAATATAAGATTGTTCACTACGTTTAAGTCGGACAATTAAAAATGTATGTGCGACTTGGCTCAGAGATGATATGAGAAAAAAAAAAAAAAAATACCTGAATCGCCAGAACCAGATGACTCATAAGAATCATAATCATCAGAATCTTTGGAGTCTGTGGTATATGTGCTTTCATCAATATCTTCATCGTCATCATAATTTCCAGAGGCTTCAATATCTTCATAAAATCCTCTTCGGTCCATGGTTTCTGTCTCCCGTATCTATTGAGAAAAAAAAAAAAAAAAAGAAAAAAAAATTTCACACAACATAAGTATACTACTCAACTGGGTTGGAAATTTCAAGTGGGCAAATAACAGGGAAAACTATTAGAGGAAATTGTTTGACCCTTCTCATGAATATAAAAGTTACAATACCAATAATGAATACATACATATAGTGCCAAATGGGTTTTTAGTAAACCATGCATGACTAAATACTATTAGTCTGAGAACCTCAACGTCTTGTTTCACCATAGACAATCTTACAGGGTTACTCCAACCACCATGACCACAGTTGCAGGAGTCAGTATGTGCAGGGTTTACAGAAATGCCATGACACGTGACTTGGCTTTCCAATGTCAATGCGGTGCATAATTGACGCACTACATGCAGACAGATGTTTAAAGTCTTCCTCTTGTAGGCAGAGCTGCGGCTAGCGCTCCCCTCTCATCATGCACTTAAAAGAAATACATAAAATCTGACCAAACCCTCCATCCGCACCAGCCCGGAGCACATGTATTCTATGAGAAGCCTGTGATTGGGCTGCATGCGGCACAAGTGACGTTGGAGGGGGGCATGGAAGATCAGCAGCAGGGGCTTGTCCCAGCACTGGATTCAAGGCAAGCAAACCTTTTTCCAGGTTTCACTACCATTTGAGAGGTACTATGGGGAAGAGACCTCCCCAACAGAAGACCATATTATGCCAGAGAGGTCCTCCCTCTCAAAAGGGGGAGGAATAGTAATCCTCTATGCCTCCATATGTCTGCTCTACATCTGAATACTGAATAAGCCAGCATAAAGTTTTTGATTTTGTATGGCACATGGAAAAGAGGTTATTAAGGAGCACTTAAAGAGGGGTGTGGGGCAGAGACCCCCGCCCCCCATAGCACCATTACCAGTTTTCTAATCATGACATCAAAACTTTGTAATAAAATATCCTAACAGAAAACTTGACAAAAAAAAAAAAAAATATATAACATTTAAAAAAAACCCACACAAAAACATACATTTCTATTCCTGCCACACTATATATACATATATACATACACACACACACACACACACAGAATACATGAAGACTTGTTTTCCTTTGTGGTATAGCAACTTAAAGGACCACTCTAGGCACCCAGACCACTTCAGCTTAATGAAGTGATCTGGGTGCCAGGTCCTTCTAGGGTTAACCCCCCTTTTTTTTTTTATATAAACATAGCAGTTTCAGAGAAACTGCTGTGTTTATAAATGGGTTAAGCCTTCCCCTATTCCCTCTAGTGTCTGACTCATTGACAGCCACTAGAGGCGCTTGCGTGCTTCTCACTGTGCTTTCCTATGTGACCGGCTGAATGCACGCGCAGCTCTTGCCGCGCGTGCGCATTCAGCCGACAGGGCGGAACGGAGGCGGAGAGGAGGAGAGCTCTCCGCCCAGCGCTGGAAAAAGGTAAGTTTTAACCCCTTTCCCCCTTCCAGAGCCAGGCGGGAGGGGGACCCTGAGGGTGGGGGCACCCTCAGGGCACTATAGTGCCAGGAAAACGAGTATGTTTTCCTGGCGCTATAGTGGTCCTTTAAGACAATACAAGAGGGTGGATCAAAAAAAGAACAATTTGTTCCAGATTTCCTGGCCTATTTATTTGCTATATACAGAGATTGGTACACAAAAAAGTCCTTCTAGTATTAGCTAATTTTTTTTTTTTTTTTTTTTATGCATTACCGCAGTCATTCAGAAGTGAAACTTGGGAGAATATGCTTGATTTTCTTTTGTTCCTGGTCATACAAGCCACTACTCATGAATCAGTGATGTGGCTCATCAGATAAGAGACTGAACAGTCAGTTTACCACTGCCACTCATTCTTCATAAATTTGAAGACCTTCATGTGTAGATACGACACAAATCCAGTGATATCACAATGGATTGTTAAACCATTTCACATACCTTGCAAATTAAATGTTAACTCCACTGTTAATGTCACAGAAGTTATGATTTAATCAGTGTGGCTAATAATTAACTTTTCATCATAAACTGTACTCAACTAGCAAAGTCAATAAAAACCCCATGGAACTGTAAAGTTAGAGTTACAAAAGTCCACGTAATGAGAAGGTAAAGTCTTGAGAAGAAAACGGTCAAAGTCTCCCATGCATGTCAGATCTAGTATTTTAAATAGCGTAGAATGCATTGGCATTCTAATTGTCATTTAATTTAACCACCAGCAAAGCTATTCTAGGAAAAAAAAATAAATGGGAGTGTTCTGTTAAAAATCAGATTTCGAGTCAAGTGGCGTTTTAATACCAGCCATTTTACATAATTAGCAAAACACAATTAACGAGTGAGCGGTAAGACCGCTTTAGCTGTGCCATGGTTTATAAATTAGTCACGTGAGTTCTGTGATTCATGCTGGGAAGCCACTACCTGCAAATTTACAAGACATTTTTACTACATTCTGTAGAGAGCAACCAAAACAGCATTTAAAATCTACATGGCTTCAGCAGAAAATATTTGACTCTACGCTAATCGTATTTAAAACCCAAGGGGGAGGGGTGGTTTACTCATCTAGTGTAAGGAAAATGGGTTATAAAAGTGATATTTCAGTACATGTACACCCCATCACGATGTAAAACGCATTCAAAATCCAGAGTTTCTGGCATTATTAACAGGGTATGAATTTACTAAAAAAGTTAGATATCGTTCAAAATAATTTTTGGGGGGAGAAGGGTTGATAATGGATATTTTTACAGTATAAGATCAAAGTGACTGCATGAAATCTGAGCAACCTTCACTGTGACCAAACAGGTGTGCTCCCTCATCCAGTCATCTTCTATTGCTACAGTTGCATGAAGACGAGAACGCCAATTCTGAAATTTAAAAGTTCCACAGGAACCAATTCTGCTCCTCTTAGAGAGTCATGTGTACACATTTTTAAATTTCTTTAACTGCAAATGGACATTTCATCTTATCAGTGGGGATGATTAACAATGTGCATATGTAGATTTTCCAGTTGTACAGTGATAAGAGTTAGTCACGGAATGACAGAACAGACAGAACTTTCTTGTAAAATCTTATTTCACAATCTGTCATACCTGTACTCCTTATATTAATTCTAGTACTACCATTTTATATTCTCTTGTATAGGTATTTATCTCTGAGATCTTTGCTTATTTTTCTTTACATCTTTCAGTTTATACCTGGCTGTGTTTATACTATAAATAAGTGATCCAATTGTAAATTACGGTAACAAACCTAAAAATAATTGGGAACCAATTTAAATGGAGTTGGTCTTTGTTGATTTTCTCAGCTATACATTTGTGAAAAAGAATATTGTAGGATTTAGATAAGTGTCATGCTCCATACATCCCCCCCCCCCCCCCCCCAAAAAAAAGTGTAAAAAAAAATACCCCTAGCAATTCCTGCATAGCAATACAGCCCTCACTGGCATGGAAGAGATTAAATTGGTTTATTTTGCACCTTCTCTGCCCCTTTACTTTGTGTCACCAATTTTATGCATGCCAGACTCCTTTGACAGCAACAAGGGTTTTGAGAAAACTAGAATGAGTTCGAGAAATTGCAAATAACAGCTTTTATGCAAGTAATATGGCTTGGAATTTGAAAAGGAACAAGACAAAATGTAATTTCATGGTTAGCCATACATGGAATGAAAAAGTATGCACAACTTGCAGATAAAAAAATAAAAAAATAAAAAAAAAAAAAACACACCCATTTTGTATGTTCTATTTCTTGAATGAAGCTAAAATTAAATAGAGGTAAAAGTGACTGTCTTTCTGACACACTAGATTGTGTTTTCGTTGCAATAACTAAATCAAACTGCTCAAAGTTTCTCACAGAACATTTGATTGGACAAGCGAAACCTTTATTGTGCATGCACTTCTCAACCTCAATGCTTCTCTACGAGAAAACATCAGCATGCTCACTAAGACAGAGGCAGATTGGGCAGCTGCAACAGTGATGTTTTGGTGCTGGAAACAAGATAAGCCAACTAGATTTAACTTTTAACCGCAAATGTGAATAGAGGTCACTATAACGGAAGGTAGTTATAATCTTGGAGAAAAGGAGAAGAAAAACCCCAACTAGCATTTTCAGGACTATACATTTTCTAATTTGCCTCCCCACTGCACTCTGTGCAGCACAAACAAACAAATATACAATTTTGGCAGAGAGGAGTAGACTTTCCTACCAAGAATTGGAAATTTGTTTCTCCACCAAAGTGTGAAATGTCAGAAATTCAATGTGAGTTTATTCTGAAATTGCAAAACTACAAAAATGCCATGTCAGCTATATTTTAAGTTGGACTATTTTGGCTTAAAATTTTAAATGCCTTTTGAATTGCTGATATTTCACGCATTAATGAACACCAAGATTGCAGAAATCTGCAGAATTCTAATGTCGCATAAAATGTCAAACAGTACAGATTTTCCGGTTTGATTAAGCAGGGTGTAATTTGCTTTGCTATTATTGCACCCAAAAATAGATGAGTAATGCACATTTAATGTAGCACTACTTGTCATGAGCATATTACCTCCAGTACATGCATATACAGTTTTCTTAGAACTTAAATTTCAGCCAAGTCATTGCATAAATGCAAAGTCCTCATGTTTATGCTCTATTTTCCTACTGGATTCCTCCCCACACAGCATAAAAAAGGCAAATGGAAATGTCCAGAGAAGAGGTGCAAAAAGTCGTTTGGCTGTTTAAATTTCAAAACCGATGGACGCCAAGCTTTTGAAAAGGAAGTGCCCCCAAAAAGAAGGGGGAAGCTAAAATTGAAAAGGCAATAGACTGCTTAATAATGCAAACAGCACATATATTACTACATGGTAAACCTAGGCACTGATATAATCTTACAGGAAATTGTCACTTTCCTAATTAGACACATTGAGTTGTCTATGGAACAAATCCACTTTAGCTAAAAAGCTTGAATGGAACAATAAAATCAACAAGTCAGCTGTTCGTAAATGCCATGTGACATTCAATGTTTGAAGAGTAAAGTGTGATTATTTGCTATGTAATGGAATTGTCTGGTCAAGACCAACATTTGACTTCCTTGTTTGATTCATTGCAGTCATTTTGTGTCTCCTCACCAGGATGTAGCAGTTTATTAGATGGTTGTCTAGTCAAACTATAAAATTAGCTCCTCTCTTCAAAGTGGTGATAAAACCAGTGTTTAAAAAAAAAATAAAAAAAAAAAAAAACAAAAAAAAAAAAACACACCCCACTAAAATAAAAGTTTTTGTTTTCCACACATTTGTCCTTGAACTACATACTTTATCTTTGCTCCCTGTCCATCACCATTTGATATGATGACCTTTTCTACCAATGAATATAGTTTAAAGAGAAAGCAAAATTAGGTTTCTGTCCTCCTCATTTGCAATGTGTGCCATGGTGGTGCCTGTACTGCACTGGATTGTCATTTCACTTAATCTTTAATATACATTTTAAAAGAAAACAGAACCTCACACTTTAAAAAGTTAACCCCAGTAATAGAGGAGGTTTCATACTTTAGGCAATTGCTTATTTTCCAGAGAATTGGCAGTTCCCCTTTAATAAGCATCTAGGCAGATGAACCAACAGAGAAATTTGACAGAAAAGCTTGCTGCCTGAGATTTAAATTTTTCAGATGTTGGAGAAAATTTTCACAGTGAACGTTCTATACCCTTGGTATACATAAAACACCCTTCTAACTCCTGGTATAGTTCAAACTTACAGCCAGTACTATACGATCTGTATTACTAGAACAGCAGTCATGCAAAGGTAGGTCAAGGTCCCCAACATGATCAAAAGCATGTTATTCAAAAATATACACCCCCATAAAGAGAGGAAACAACTCTGCTGACAAAACTAAATGTGAAGCCATGAAACAAAAAATGACCAATATGCAATTCCAAATATAGCTCAAGTTCCAGACCTTCTAGAATGGAAAATAATGGGCCCATATGAATATTCATTTGGTGCCACATATCAAGCTTGTTGTTAATCAGATCTTTGTATAGACTTCACTGTACAATCCCTTGAAAATCCTCTTGAAAACCCATCAGACATGACTGATGTAATTCAGCGTCCTTTAAATTTTTTGCATAAAACAAATAATGACCTCACGTTTGAAAGATAATTCTACCCCTTTTAGCAGGGAAATATGGGGTAGTATTACTATGATAGAGGAAGATTGATTTTATAGTTAGATCTTTTACGTAGGTTAACAATTTGCATTGGCATTTAAAGTTGTTTTTAGAAATCAAGTTAATCAGGAAGGGTGTATACTCTGAGCAATGCAATGGATATTTGTAATGATTAAATGACCACTATAGTGCCAGGAAAACACTTAGGGACCCCCTCCCGCTAGGCTGGATGGCGAGGAAAGTGTTAAATCTTACCCTTTTCCCCCAGCGCTGAGCTCTCCTCCTCTTCGGCTGAATGCGCATGCGGGGCAGGAGCTGCGCACGCATTCAGCCAGTCTCATAGGAAAGCATTCATAATGCTTTCCTATGGACGCTGGCGTCTTCTCACTGATTTGCACAGTGAGAAGCACGCAAACGCCACTAGAGGCTTTAGAGTCTGAATTAACCCATTTATAAACATAGCAGTTTCTCTAAAAAAAAAAAAGTGTTAATCCTAGAGGAACCTGGCACCTAGACCACTTCATTAAGCTGAAGCAGTCTGGCTGCCTAGAGTGGTCCTTTAACCTCACTCAGGTATTAATCTTACCATTATTCAAAAAGGCTTTAAAGATTTAAACAATGACTCAAGTTCATGTAAGATCAGGGTGTTTTAAAACAGCGATCCATGAGGACTACTTTGTATTCTTTTATTGTACATGCAGGAAAACCTTGAGATAGTTACTCAATACATTAATTATGTTCCGCAAGCATTGTAAAAACAAACGTTTAATGGTAAAGGGTTGTGCAATCAATTGGCACAAAGTGACAAAAATGCAATGAAGACTCTGGTAATATAAGTTTAGACAAAAACTTAAACACTACAGAGTTAGAAATACATATTTGTATTTCTAACAATATAGTGCCTTAGTCAGGGGTAAGATTTTAAAAACATCCAGAGTTCCAAATGTTGCCTAAGCCTACCCCTGCACAAGAATTACCAAGTAAAGGGTATTTAAAAAAAATAAAAAATAATTATGCTTTTATATTAAATATAACTTTTTGTTCTTAGATTATTCATTTGGTTACCATTTTCATACTGTCAACTTCTCTTCTATAGAGAAATGTGTTTTGGTGGCACTCTGTCATCCTAGGCCATTTATCATGCGTTCAACATCTCAGACACCAGGGGATATTCATTGAAACACCAATAGTCGCAAGCTAGACTATACTTTGTGCAAAAGACTGGAAGCTAGTTTTGTGGGTACCGGTAGTTCAGTATGCCTTATAAATCTATTCTGAAACCAGAGACAAGCTGCAAAGAATTAAGTTTAATGTATTTTAAAAGGATCACAATAGGCACCCAGCTAGGGTTAACCTCCCCCCTTTTTTTTTTTTTTTTAAATACACACACACACACACACACACACGTACGTTTCAGAGAAACGGCTATGTTTATAAATAATAGGTTAATCCAGCCTCTAGTGGCTCTCATTGACAGCCGTTAGAGGCATTTGCGTGCTTAAGACGCAAGCGTCCATAGGAAAGCATCTTGAATGCTTTCCTATGAGACTGGCTGAATGCGCACGCAGCTCCTGCCGCGCATGCGCATTCAGCCGAACAGCAGGAGAGCTCCCCACCCGGCGCTGGAGAGGGGTAAGTTTAACCCCTTCCTCTCCCCAGAGCCCAGCGGGAGGGGGACCCTGAGGGTGGGGGCACCCTCAGGGCACTATAGTGCCGGGAAAATTAGTATGTTTTCCTGTCACTGTAGTGGTCCTTTGAGCCTTGGTGACTGAGCAATCATGAGGTGGAGTTTAAGTCGCAACAGTACATCTGCTTCACATATACACATACATATCCATACATATACACACACACTAGCCAGGTATTACAAAATAAAACAAGAAGTCCAAAAGGTTAAAAGGGCATGTTTGATAAAATGCCATGATGATGTAGACACAACTAAAGCATAGATGTAGATAAAAAATTTGCTTTTTAGAGAGAAATAAATTGATGCAAATCAGATTTAAGTGTAGTTTTAGAAAGCCACACAAAAGTTAGATATCAAACCGCAAAAAAATAAAATAAAAAAAAAACACCACACACGACTTTAGAAACTTTCTTTTTTCCTCTCTTTCTAAAGCAACACTACTATGTAACGTACCTACCCACCTGTAAATCTTTAAGAAGTAACAAAACCTGTTCCTTTTGTATCCAGAGGTCAAGCTTCAGTTTATCAATAACATACGCAACACAAAAAAAACACAATGATAGCAGAATACACACACACACACAGATTATATTTCAGAATTAATTTTGTGCCTGTTTGATATCACTTTAACATATAGAGAGCATGACAGATGAAAAGAAAAAAAAAAAAAAAAAGTCATTTATGTGTAAATGAGCGATTGCAGACAAAACAATTCCCCTAAATGGGCCCCAGTCTATGAGTATTTCTTTTTGAAATGGCAAACTGACTTTAAAAGTCCTGGTGATTTTAGCTGGTGCCATTTAAGTGTCTAAAGAAGCACTGGAGCATATGTCAAAGGAAATGCAGAACGTCTCTACTCCACTGCATCCAAATGGAACACAGCCAGATGCAAGATCTTGGTTTTAAATCTTAATAAAGCAATTAATACTGCAGTGTCCTCCAGATTTCACATTAACTTATAGAAATTGCAACTACAGGCAGTATAGAAAGGAGAAAAAATAAAAATACATTTCCAACAAACACTATCAGAGCTAAACAAAATCAAAAGCAGTTTTGTGACAAGGAAACTACACAGAATCCAGCAAGTAAGTCTCCAGACTTTAGCAACTTGAAAAACTTTAAGATTACGTATTGGTAAAAAAGGAGGTGGGTGAAAGAAGAAAAAAAAAAAAAAAAAAGGGAGGGAGGGAGGGGAAGTCCATATTTGGATGTGGAGGGAAAAGGAAAGGATTTGCTTTTGACATTACGCAATACATATTGCAACACCAATATCCCATGACGTATGGGAATCTTAAAATTAAGTCACTCCAGACATCTGGAGTGTACAGCTATTAAGTAAAATTAGATTATATATGAAAAATGTTTTAAGTGTTACATTACATAATCTTTTTATAGGAGGTAGATAGCCGTTTAGGTGATGGCCCCTCTATAGTAAAGGCAATTTTCCGCTTTTCTCCTGCGCCAGTCTCACCGGAACCAGGATCCCTCTGGTTTTGCCCTAGTGACAAGGCACTAATCTTGATCTGTCAGTCTAATGCTTTCCCTTATTGCACATGTGCAGCAAAAGCCTGACTGGCCCAGTCAGCATCTCCTTATAGATACATTAAAATCAATGCCTCTATGGAGAGTTGTCACTTGGTGCTGCACAAGATTAGGAAGATCCTCTAGTGGCCTTCTTAGTTACGGCCACTAGAGAGGTTATTAGCCAGCAATATAAATACTCAATTTTCTTTGAAAAGGCAATGTCGATAGGGCCAATACTGCACGAACATGCTATATTATATAGTTGAAAAGAGACTTGCGTCCATCAAGTTCAGCCTTCCTCACATGTTTTTGCTGTTGAACCAAATTAAGCTAGACACCAGAACCATTACTTTAAAGGACGACTCTAGGCACCCAGACCACTTCAGCTTAATGAATTGGTCTGGGTGCAGGTCCAGCTAGGTTTAACTTTTTTTTTTATTTTTATTTTTTTATTTTTTTTTTAAATATACATACATACATACATACATACATACATACACACAAACACATACATAGCAGTTTCAGAGAAAACTGCTATGTTTATAAATCGGGTTAATCCAGCCTCTATGGTGGTCTCAGACAGCCGCTAGAGGTGCTTCCGCGTTTCTCACTGTGATTTTCACAGTGAGAAGACGCCAGCGTCCATAGGAAAGCATTGAGAATGCTTTCCTATGGACTGGCTGAATGCGCGCGCAGCTCCTGCCGCGCATGTGCATTCAGCCGATGACGTCGCTATGAAGGAGGAGAGTCCCCCACCTGGCTCTGGAAAAAGAGGTAAGTTTAACCCCTTCCTCCCACTAGAGCCTGGCTGGAGGGTGACCCTGGGGGTGGGGGCACCCTCAGGGCACTATAGTGCCAGGTAAACGAGTATGTTTTCCTGGCACTATAGTGGTCCTTTAAGCTGTGGTGGTTCTGGTGACTATAGTGATCCTTTAAGGATGCCTTGCGAAGAGTTCCATTAACAAGACTACACTTGTAAATAAATTGGGTGCAGCATTTTACACCATCTTATTTTGTCAGATGCTCCAACAGAATTATTTTGGGTAGTGTTTGTCATTCAAGCCCCATACAATAGTTTGTCACATTAAAGCCATATTTTAACTTGAAAAGCTACAAAACCGTCGAAAAAGCAGAAGGCTTGGGACAAACAGAAGCAAAATAATGTCTAGCAAAAACTTTACCCACAGATCATTAACCAAGCGCATCTCATGCATCAGAAAGGTGATGGAATTCTCCCATAACAATAAGACAGGTCAGGGTTCCACGCTCTATCTCAGATAAGGAGTGGGGACTAGAGGCAGACATGGTTTAAATGGAGCCTCTTGTTTAGCATTCCTGAAAATAAGAATAATGGCCAAGGTATATATCAAATCATAAAAGTTAACTTTTGTCAGCTTCACTTAGTAACGGAAATAAAGACGTTTATTAACCAAAGACTACAAAAATAAAAAAATTTAAAAAAAGGAAGCAAACCAGGACTACAATTATCCAAATAAATACAAAACTATTGCGAAATTAAACCCAAATAGAAAGTTTATGCTGAAAGAACTGAATGAAAAATAAAAAAAAATCCACACATTCCAGTACAACTTGACTATTTTCCGGTGTTCAGTGCACTCAAATATAAATTGTGTTTAGTTATAAAACCCCTAGATATAAAGAATTTAAAAAAAAAAAAAAAAAAAGTTTTTTTTTTTTGGTTGTTTTTGGAGGAAACGTGGAATGTAGAGGGACATAACTAAAAAGGGGATCTCATTCCTTGATACAGAGGAGGTTGTACTACGCAGGATCCTATTACTATGATTAAAGGATTGGCCTCCATTGGAATGCGTGCAATGTGGACCACTCGGCTCCATAATCCATAGGGACACCTCGTTAAAAAACAAACAAAAAACAAAAAACAAAAAAAAAAAAAGACACCCCAACAACCACACACAGCAACTTTGTATTCAAATGAAAAGAAATGGCAGATTTCCCCACCCCCTACATTGCGCCAACTTCAGAAAAAACACGTTGCTCTGCTGCGTCACTTACCGACTCAGCGGCTGCCGCAGACACCAGGAACACGAGCACGAACAGCGTGGGGTTCATGTTTGACGCAGTCGGAGTTAGCTGGTAGAAGATAGTCCTGCAAAGTTTCCAAAGTCCTGATAGTTGTGTTTTAAGGTTCTAATTGCAGTCACTGCGTGTATTACCTATCACACGAGCTCAATACCAGCAGCAAGTTTACTATACTGACTCTGTGCTACCTTCAAAGGATTTTTTATAAGATGTCCCCTCCCATCCCAAACAGTGTTATTTTACCCCTCCCCCTTTACCGGAATTTCCCTGTCTGAGGTTGATTCATTTAAAGGGAAATGACATAAGAGGCTTAGGTTTCTCCAGTAAAGTCAGAAGAATTTTTTTTTTTTCCCCCTTTTGTTTCCTTTTGTAGGCTGACATGAGGTTGGTCTAACTATGCGAGGATATTCCAAAAGGGGAAGGACTCTGTATTAGGGTCATCAATCTGCCTACTCTGTTTGTTTCACATTACACTTCTGCTTTTGCTTGTTCATTGGAATTCCGTCATAGATCCAAACGGAAAATAGCGTTGTATTTTGGAATATTTATGTTTTACAAATGTCATTGGAACTTGTGTGTCCTGGTCAGAAAGTTACATTCAACATTAATTAATTTATTTAAGTTTCTTGCATACTTGCAAAGACCCTATTTTGGAGGAACCATCCTTATTTCAGGGCCAAATTAATCAGTCCCTTTTTTCTATTCTATTCAGGCACTCTGTGTAGCGTGGCTGAGCAGAGCAGCACACACAGCGGTACAAGAACTTCTGTTTCTCAGATATATTCATGGCAGCACTACAGATGGGTATAGCTCCTCCCACTCCTAAATTGGACAGGAACACCTAATAATTAAACAAATAAAAGAGAGATTCCTCCCTTAAGTCCTCATTCTTTTTTTCCTTTCCACTCACATGGATGTTTTTAACACCTCCTTTCCTCTTTTGTAGCTTACTTGGGTCTAACAGTTCAGCCTTTCTCCACATGGAAGCCTCAGGACACGGCGACCCCCTGAAGGACTCTCCCCTTCGCGACCGGGGAGTCATGCTGCAGTGATCTTATAGGTAACAGCTGGATGTGCCAGTAACAGTGTGATGATAATTCCCGTGTAAGGGTACCTATATTATTGAAGTTTTGAGGTTATTTTGGTTTTCCCAAGGATATTTACTGTTTGGGATTAAAAAGGAGCATATCACTTCTTACATGTATTATATATGATACTAAGAACCCATGGAACTCCTCAGTAGTTAGAGGGACTCCCTTTTTAGGCACACACACCGATCGGTGTATGTGTCAGGTACCTTTTTGTTCGGTTTTCCTCTCTTTTGGCTGCCTTCTGGGTCTTGATGGCAGATGGAACGTGGGGCCTATTTGAAGAGTTCCGTTTTCCCTCCAGTTCCGTTTCCTCTTCTAGGGGAAATTGTGGCACAGGTGGATCATCCAGACATTCAAATCAATTCTGATCGGACACCAGTCCAGTCTTTGGGGGTAGGAGCCAGACTCCTAAAATTCTCCAGAGTCTGGGCTCAAAATATTTCAGACAAATGGGTTCTAAAAATCATCCAAGCAGGTTATTTCTTAAACAAAGATCTGAACCAAAGATCCTAATTTCCTCCAAGGTAAAGAAAGAACTAGCTTGGTGGCTAGAAGATCAAAATCGCTGCCTCGGTTTCCCTCTGGGTCACATTCCTTGTATAACAATTACATTGGTGACTCCTTCAAGTAGACCTCATGGCATCTCACGTGAACAACAAGGTAACAAGGTACTATTTGCGTTTCTTCAACCCTTTGGCGGAAGACGAGGATGCCCTGTCCTGCGAGTGGAGGTTCAGCCAGGGATATGTGTTTCCGCCAGGCCCTCTGATTTTTCCTCTATTAAAGAAGAACCAGTGATCATCATTGCGATCATTCCCCATTGGCCAAGTCGCCCATGGTTTCCACTTCTGAAGAAGCTATCCCAGGAACCTCCTTTGGATCTGTCGGGTCATCTCCAGCTGCTTCATCAAGGTCTGGTATTCCATCCTGCACCCCAATTGTTGAGATTGATGGCATGGAAATTGAGAGGCAACAACTCTTAGACAAGGGGTTTTCTGCCTCTGTCATGGATATCCTTCTTAAAGCAAGAAAAAAGTCTACTTTGTCAGCTTATCGTATATGGGGTATATTCTGTGAGTGGTGTACTTGTCATGAAGTTCCTTTTCAAACCCCAAATATGAGCAACATTCTGCAGATGTGATAAAGGTCTAAGTGTGAGTTCTTTAAGAGTTCAGATCTCTGCGCTCTCCATTCATTTGGACAAGAAACTGGCCTTCGATCCTGATATTAGCAGATTTTTTCAAGCAATTCTGAAAATCCATCCTCCAATTAAGTACTAAGCACCTCCCTGGGATCTGCCTCTGGTTCTTCAGGCTTTATCAATTCCTCCCTTTGAACCTCTGGAAGGAATTTCTATGGCTACATTGACTTTAAAGACGATTCTTTTGGTGGCCCTTACTTCAGGGAGAAGAATTTAAGAACTTCACGCTCTCTCATGTGAATCTTCTTTCCCGATTTTTCAAGAAGATAGGGGCATTCTAAGGACTATTACAGCCTTTTGACCTAAAGTTGTTTCTTCCTTCCACGTCAATCAGAACATTGTTCTTACAGCCTTTTTTCCAAATCCTTCATCAGAAATAAAGAAAAGATGGCATTGCCTGAATTTAGTGCGTTGTTTATCTACTTACATACAACGTACTTCTGATATCAGGAAATCCTCTAGACTTTTTGTTATTCCATCAGGACACAAGTTGGGACAAGCGGCTTCCACCTCTTCCATTGGGTGTTGGATTATATCAGGCTTACCAGGCGTCTGGAGTTCCTATCCCATTGGGTATTCGGGCTCACTCCACTAGAGCTCTAGCCTCCTCTTGTTTCCCCCTTACCGCATTTGTTCGGCAGCAACCTGAATGTCCTTTAATACATTTATTCATTACTACCGGTTGGATGTTGCCAGAGCTTCTAGTTCTGCCTTTAGCAGAAGTGTTCTTTCTTCAGCTTTATAATAAAATTTCTTTTACATTCTAAATGTTGGATGGTTTTCAATTTTTCCCTTTCCCTTATGTCTTTAGCTTGGGTATTACCCATCTGTAGTGCTGCCATGGATATATCCGGAAAAATAGAACATTTAATTCATACTTACCGATATTTTCTTTTATCGGATATAGGCCATGGCAGCACTACGATCCCACCCGACTTTTTTGTTTGTGGCTTGGGACAAAGACTGAGGACCTAGGGGAGGGATCTCTTTTATTTGTTTAATTAGGAGGTGGGAGGAGCTATACCCATCTGTAGTGCTGCCATGGCCTATATCCGGGAAAAGAAAATATCAGTAAGTATGAATAAAATTTTCTATTTTCCTGTACCAGGCCAGACTGAAAGGAAGTGCTCACTGAGAGAGCACTTCCTGTCAGTCCGGCCAGATACAGGAAACAGAAGTTCCTGTACCATGGTCTGCTCCGCTCGGTCACGCTACAATAAAGGTAGGAAACTTAATGGGGACCAAGGGGGGGAGAGAGATGGGCACTAAGGGACGGGGGGAGGGGTGGTAAGGAACACAATGGGACAGGGGGTGGGTGTAAGAACACTATGGGACAGGGGAGGGGGTTGGGTGGTAAGGAACACTATGGGACAGGGGAGGGGGGTGGTAAGAAACACTATGGGACAGGGGGAGTAGGGGTTGGTAAGGAACTCTATGGGACAGGGGAAGAAGGGATGGTAAGGAACAATATGGACAGGGGGAGGGGAGTGGTAAGGAACACTATGGGACAGGGGGAGAGAGGGTTGTAAGGAACACTATGAGACAGGGGGAGGGGAGTGGTAAGGAATACTATGGGACAGGGGTGGTAAGGAACACTATGGGACAGGGGAGGGGGGTCGTAAGGAACACTATGGGACAGGGGAGGATGGGGTGGTAAGTGAACACTATGGGATGGGGGGTGATAAGTGAACACTCATGGGCTGGAGTGGAGCAAGGGAACACTGTGGAATGGGAGGGGAGTGGTGGGCGAAACACTATGGATGGGGGAAGGGGAGTGGTAAGAAACTCTATGGAATGGGGAGGGAGAGTGGTAAGGAACACAATAAGTTGGGGGTGTGGAAGGACACTATGGGTGGTAAGGAACACAATGAGATGGGGGTGGAAGAACATTATGGGGGTGGTAAGGAACACAATGATGGGGTGAAGAACACCAGCAGGACAGGGAGGGGTGGAAATAGACCTGGGAGAACACCAATGGACAGGGAGGAATAACACTATGGGACAGGAGGGGGGTGGAAGAACACTATGGGACAAGGGAAGGGGTGGAAGAACACTATGGGAGAGGGGGAAAAACACCATGTGGGAGGGGGGAAATAAATGGACAGGGAGGGAAGAACACTATGGAGAGGGAAGAGAACACCGTGGGATAGGGGAGGGGGGAAGAACACTAAAAAATAGGGAGGGGAGAGGAACACTATAGGGGAGAGAAAGGAACATTAAGGGAGGGGGCACTAAGGTACATGGGAGGGAAGGGAAAAGGAACACTGGGGTATGGGCGACCACTAAAAGAGAAGGGAGAGGAACATTAAGGGAAATGGGGGACACTAACTGACAGGTAAGGGGGGGGAGCAACACTAATGGACATGGAGGGGAGGGGAGGGGAGAGGAATACTAAGGGATATGGTGGGAAGAGTGGCACACAGGGGAGCCTAAGTGGGGAGAAAAACACAGAGAGGGACATGAGGGGGGAGAAAGACACACAGATGAGCCTGGGGTGAGAAAGTTCACAGAGGTGCTGGGGATGAAAGCGACTCACAGAAGGGCCTTGGGGTGGAAATACAAAGGGGCTAGGGGTGAAAGAGACACAGAGGGGCTGAAAAAGAGAAAAAGGAGACTCAGAGGGGCTGGGGGTAGATAGATGGGCTGGTGGCGAAAGAAACACACAAAGGAGCTGGTAAGAGTAAAAGACACAAGGGGGCTGGGAGAGAAGGAGACACACAAAGGGGATGGTGGGAGTAAGACACACAAAGGAGGTAAAAGATACACGAGGGAGGTGTAAGACACACAATGGGGAAAAATAGGGGTTAAGATACACTAAAGGGGGTAAGATATTTTAAAAAGGGGATACGAAACAAAAGGCAGGTTAAGAGGCACACAGGTGAAGGATGCTTTTAGGTGGGGGGGGAGGCACCAAAAATCATCTTCGACTGTGTACCCAAAAATCCTTGCATCGGCCCTGACCACCAGCAGAAGAGCCGCATCATTGTCCTCTAGGTTACACAGTCCGTGCCCTGTCACTGCTTGTTACCTAGCCTGACAGCCCACACCGGGGACACCATCTTTGTTATGGGTAAACAGTGACACAAAACACACAGCTCCCAATGTCTAACACTGCTAGCTGTAACAAGGATTCGATCTGAGAGAAAGTTATCATTGTCCTGCTGTTATATAATCTCACAGTATCTATAATAGACTGTCTGCCAGGACATAACATGTCTGCCACAGCCTCACAGCCGGCATAGCTGCTGCTACTGTAATTATCCTAAGAGACTAATCCTTCCACTCTGTGTTACTGTGCGAGGCCAGGCAGTGGCGCTTCTACCCAATATGTTACGGTAGGGCGTAACCTCGCTGCCTTTAGCCCAGTAAGGTATGCTGCCAGCAGAGCACGCTTGGTGCTCCCAGTGATCCGCTGGGCAGCATGTCCACCTCCAAGAGAAGGAGTAAAGGCAGAACCCAGCAAGGCTCTCCCTGACCGGAACCAGTAGCTGCCGGCAGCCTGGGGGTCTTTAAAGTCACCAAGTTCTTAGATAAAGGTACCTGAGCTCAGTGTGCACAGGAAAACCCACTGCTACTGACAGAGAGGGAGAGAGCACAGCCCACACT